TACTCCTCAATCGTGAGGTGAACAGGTATTGGACAAGAAGGGGAATGATATTTTGGACAGAGAGGTTAATCATAAACTTGGCAGAGGAGCTCAGTTTCAATCTCCAATCATGTGTCATCCGTCCCTAGATTTTTCAGGGAATAGGGTGATGACTGCTCTGGCTACTTCCTGCTGAAACGGGGCCTAGATCTAGGGAATGGACACTGAATTGGAAATACTCCCAAGTTCCAAGTCCTGGATCTAAGACTTGTATGATGAAGAACTCATTCCCTGAGGAATTCAGGAGAATAAGCCTGAAAATCAGTCTGGACCTGGCACTTTGAGGGAGACTGGTAGCCAGGTAGCCAGTTGTCCAATTTTATCTGAGTAGGTTTTAACTTTTCGATGTATCTATATATATGTACATACACACACACACACACACACATACATACATACATACATACATACATACAAATAAAGTGTTACTGGCTACTATGCATGTCTCTTTCTGCTAACATCTGATCTAAAGCAACTTTATTGTCTAAAAACTTAACGGTTACTAGAGGAAACCTTGAGATCATAAGGTTGCAGCTGCCATCTGCCAGCAGACACTGCTTTGAGAATGGCTGGTGGTGTTCTGAGTATGACACAGCTCAGAAAATTAGTTCTCAACAGTATAGGAACCTATCTGAAATCATGTCCACAAGGGCCACCTAGTTTTACCTTGGATGTCTGAACCACAGTTACTTCATTTTGACTTTCAAATGCGTTCCCCTCCTCAAGGCCAAAGCAGATGTACAGTGCATGTCCAAAAGGCCATAAAGCTGGCCAGTTTGATCAGTAAAGTTTAAGTCAAAGCATGCACAAGCTAGAATGACTTCCCCATTTCCCCTTTTGATTACAAATCTTTCAGTAGAAAGCACTGATGATCAAAATATCTGTACCTTATTTTTTTTCTCATCTAGAAATAACCAACTCTAAGACCAAATCACTTTATCTTACCTTAACAAAGTGTAATTACATTCCGCATACCTTTTTTTCTCATGCAAAACATATATCCTACTTTCCTACTCTATACTGAAGTGTTCCCCCATTATTTTTAGTAGCTTCAATTACATATTTAAATTAGAATCATCAATTCTTAGAAATCTTAATTTCTAGTGAATGTTTCAGTAGCTTATCTTA